TTTTATATTACCTTATCTAATCTAATATATTTTTAACCTTATATATCTTAAAAAAAAATATAGGTATAGGTAGACATTTACAGTATGCCGATAGATTAGTAAATTTATATACTGGAGAGAGAGAGAGAGAGAGAGAGACTCCTTTGACAAGCTAAGAGCGAAAGTCCTCTAAGAAGCTAATTAGCATAACCCCAAATCTCCCATTTGACCATAGAATACACACACACACATACACACACACACACACACACACACTATAACATCCCTTCACCTAAAAGCCCCAAAGTGCCCAACTTTAAAACATGGCTTGTCCTTAAGGTAAATTATACTGTGGAGAAGAAAAAAATGTCTTATTAATAACAAATTTTATAGGATCTTCACCATAACACCTCGTATCGATTTTATACTATACTAACCTTGGGGGGTGAGAGTAAGGTAGGGGGAGGGGAAAAGGTGAGGGGGGGGGAAGGGAGGGTTTAAGGGGTTTGGGAGGGAAGAGGGGTGAGGGAAGGAGGGGAAGAAGGTGGGGAGGGAGAGGGAAGGAGGGTTTAAGGGGTTTGGGAGGGAAGAGGGGTGAGGGAAGGAGAGGGAAGTGGGTGAGGGGTGGGAAGGAGGGTTTAAGGGGGTTTGGGAGGAAGAGGGGTGAGGGAAGGAGGGGAAGAAGGTGAGGGGGTGGGGAAGGAGGGTTTAAGGGGTTTGGGAGGGAAGAGGGGTGAGGGAAGGAGGGGAAGAGGGTGAGGGGTGGGAAGGAGGGTTTAAGGGTTGGGGAGGGGAAGAGGGGTGAGGGAAGGAGAGGGGAAGAGGGTGAGGGGGAGGGAAGGAGGGTTTGAGGGAAGAAGGAATGGTGAGAGGGAGTTAAGGGAAGGAGGTGGAAGAGAAGGGAGAAACCGATGTCTCTTGCCAAGTTCCAGGAATATTATGATGTCCGTTCGTCCAAGAGTTATGTGACATCCACAAGGGGAGGGGGGGAGGTGTACTACGGACACGATACGCCACGGACATGATGATACGCCACGGACATGATGATACGCCGGGACACGATACGGTCTCGATACGCTACGAACACGATGCGCCTGGACGAACATTTTCCACCACCACGAAACATGATACACCAAGGACAAAGATAGATAAATCATGGATACGATAGACCACGGACACGATACACTGGGACACGATACGCCACGGACAATACGCCACGGTCACGGACGCAACAAACACAGTGGCAGAGCTGGCTCCATAATAACCCAGGGGACTTGCTCGGGGATACAATTAGTTGGAAACATAGAGAGAGACTATGGCGGTTGACGGAGAGAGAGAGAGAGAGAGAGAGAGAGGGGGAGAGAGAGAGAGAGAGAGAGAGAGAGAGAGAGAGAGAGAGAGAGACTGATTGACTGACTTTTTCAATAAATATATCCACACAATTAGGTCAGGGAAGCGATGCTGTTGTGATAGGCCTTTCACCTCCCTCTCTGCCCTTCCCTTTTCTGCCTCTTTCCTCCCTCCCACCCACACTGTCTCTCTCTTTCTCCCTTCCACCCTCCTCCCTTCATCCCTTCCATCCTCCCTCCCTATCTCCTTCCCTTCATCCCTCCCTCCCTTCCTTCCACTCCCCTACTGCCTCCCTCCCTCCCTCCACTCTCCTCCCCCTCTTCATCCCTCCCTCCCTCCCTTCATCCCACCCTCCTCCATCCCTCCCTCCCACCCACCCTCCTCCCTTCCATCCCATCCCTACCCTCCTCCCATCCCTCTCCTCCCTTCATCCTCCCTCCCTCCCTCCTCTTCACCCATCCTCCCTCCCTCCCTTCATCCCTCCCTCCTCCCTTCATCCCTCCCTCCCTCTCTTCTATCCCTCCCTTCATCCATCCCACCCTCCCTCCCTCCCTCCCTTCATCCCTCCCTCCCTCCCTCCCTTCATCCCCCCCTCCCTTCATCCCTCCCTCCTCCCTCCCCCTCCCTCCTTCATCCCTCCCTCCCTCCTCCCCTCCCTTCATCCCACCCACCCTCCCTTCATCCCTCCCCTTCCTCCCTCTCTCCTCCCTCCCTCCCCTCCCTTCCTCCCTCCCTCATCCCCTCCCTCCCTCCCTCCCTTCATCCCACCCACCCTCCCTTCATCCCTCCCTCCCTCCCTCCTCCCTCCCTCCCTCCCTCCTCCCTCCCTCCCTCCCTTCCCTCCCTCCCTCCCTCCCTCCCTCCTCCTCCCTCCGTCCCTCCGTCCCCTCCCTCCCTCGCTCCCTCCCTCCCTCCCTCCTTCATCCATCCCACCCTCCTCCCTTCATCCTTCCCACCTCCCTCTTCATCCTCCCTCCTCCTTCATCCCACCCACCTCCCTCCCTCCTCCCTCCCTTCCCTCCTCCTCCCTCCCTCCTCCCTCACCACCACACCGACTATTCCGATGCTTTAAAACAGGTCTCTTCAGCTCCCCAATTCTCGTTGAAACAGTTTTGACTTCCCATTTCTGGCCTGGTTAATTTAGCCAACGACGAGGGTGTGTGTGTGTGTGTGTGTGTGTGTGTGTGTGTGTGTGTGTGTGTGTGTGTGTGTGATTAATGTGGGTAGGCGTGGGTAAGTAGAGGAGCGAGGAGAGAGAGAGAGAGAGAGAGAGAGAGAGAGAGAGAGAGAGAGAGAGAGAGAGAGAGAGAGAGAGAGAGAGAGAGAGAGAGGAGAGAGAGAGAGAGAGAGAGAGAGAGAGACTGTGGTCAGTTTTACACCTCCTGCTGCATGATGCCATAAAGGTGTAATAGGTCATCGCTGTCACGTGTACGACAGAGTAGAGTGCCAAGGCTTTTATCACTGCCTGATTCTCCTCCTTCTCTTTCTCCTACTCCTTCTCCTCACCTCCTTTTCCTACTCCTTTTTCTGCTACTTCTACTCCTCCACCTTCTCATCCGCCTCTCCTTTTCCTACTCCTTCTCCTCCTCCTCCTTCTACCCCTCCTCCTTCTCCTAACTCTTACCTCCTCCTCCTCCTCCCTCCTACTACTATTACTCCTCCTCGTCCTACTCCTCCACCCCTACTCCACCTCCTCCTCCTCACCACACATCCATTCATTTCACCAAAACTATATAATATTCAGGTCACCAGAATCTCTCTCGTCATGGTGAATACAGGTAACATCAAAAAGCAATTTATACACACCTGTTGTAAAAGGTGTCTTCAGAAAGGTCGTACTTATGCTAAAACAAACCTCACATAACTTTTTCCCAATGTAGAATAAACTCAAATTGTATTGCCAGTAATAGGTATATTACTTGACCCTTCAGTAACTTTTGATCGTAATTAAAGATAAAAAAATAGAATCTTGATATCTTCTGAAATTGTGCGAAAATGATGGCCAAAAAATATAGGTATTTTCTGTGTAATGAACGGGAATGGAGAATCGTGGAAGGACAGATGGACAGACAGACAAACAGACAAATTGACAAACAGACAGACACACATGGAAAGCCAATAAGGGACTAATGAAGCACGAATCAATATGAACAACGGAATCAATCTATATATTTTTGCTAAATTATCGTTCATATGATCATTTAAAAGTTATCAAATTAAACTCTCTTTAACAATAAAATTAGTTTTTATATACAACGAGAGAGAGAGAGAGAGAGAGACCACGAAGGTTTCTGGACAACACTCAGAACTTAATTAGAGGGTTGTAAATCACGGTGATTGTCCTATAGTGCTGGGGAGGGGGGGGGGGGAGGGGTGACCAGGTCGTTATCTGAGTGGCGGAGATTTCGACGTATCGCTGGAGGTGACCAATTATCTTGATCCCCTGATGAATGTCTGCATGTCCGAGTCTTTCCTGATTGTCCTACCTGTCCCCTGATTGTCCTATCTGTCCTATGAGTGTCCTACCTGTCCCCGATTGTCCTATCTGTCCTCTGATTGTCCTATCTGTCCTCTGATTGTCCTATCTGTCCTCTGAGTGTCCTACCTATTCTTGGATTGTCCTACCTATCCTCTGATTCTCCTACCTATTCTCTGATTGTCCTATCTGTTCTCTGATCACCTTACCTATCACCTGAATGCCCAACCTGCCCCTCCGCCTGATTTTCCCTACCAGTCCCCTCCCTGGAGCTCGACTTATTCAAGGAACCTAACGAACCAAACCTCTAATATTTACTAAGTTAACGTTACCTGACCTAACCTCGATTCAAACTTGTCCCCACCTTTTCCTAACCTAATCTAAAAATCCTCATAAACCTAACCTAACCTAACCTAACCTAAGCCTAACCTAACCTAAACTAACTTAACCTAACCTAACCTAACCTAACCTAACCTACTCCAATCTCGAACCTCAACTCGCGGTTTTTCGTCCTCAAATTAGGATTCTGCTCAGGATGTGAAAATTAGTTTGACCCGTCCTCCCAATCTTAGTTTCCTCTCCCCCTTCTCACAAGCCCCCCATAAACAATCCCTCGCTATACATCTCTTCTCTATGCTCGTCTTCCCCCTCTTCCTTTCCCTAATTACGTGTCATCCCCTCCTCTCTCCTTAACTACGCCCTCCTCTCTCACCCCCTAACTACGCCCTCCTCTCTCACCCCTAACTACGCCCTCCTCTCTCCCCTAACTACGCCGCCCTCTCTCACCCCTAACTACGTCCCCTTCTCCCCAACTACCCCCCTCTCCCTAACTACGCCCTCCTTCTCACCCCTAACTACGCCGCCCTCTACCCCTTCCGTCCTTTCTCCCCTAACTACGCCCCCCTCTCATCCCTAACTACGCCCTCCTCTCTCACCCCCTAACTTCGCCCTCCTCTCTCACCCCTAACTACGCCGCCCTCTCTCACCCCCTAACTACGTCCCCTTTCTCCCCCTAACTACGCCCCCTCTCTCATCCCCAACTACGTCCCCTTTCATCTCTTACCATCCCAGCGGGTATCGATCCCCGGACTTACAAATGCGACAGGGGTTAATGCTCTTAAGCCGTTGAATCCTTTTTTATTGGGCGTGTGTGTGAGCCGTTGTCCTCCACTCTTCCTCCAGTGAGCCGTTGTCCTCACTCGTCTTCCTCCAGTGAGCCGTCGTCCTCCACTCGTCTTCCTCCAGTGAGCCGTTGTCCTCCACTCGTCTTCCTCCAGTGAGCGTTGTCCTCCACTCGTCTTCCTCCAGTGACCGTTGTCCTCCTCTCGTCTTCCTCCAGTGAGCCGTTGTCCTCCTCGTCTTCCTCCAGTGAGCCGTTGTCCTCCACTTGTCTTCCTCCAGTGAGCCGTCGTCCTCCACTTGTCTTCCTCCAGTGAGCCGTTGTCCTCCACTCGTCTTCCTCCAGTGAGCCGTTGTCCTCCACTCGTCTTCCTCCAGTGAGCCGTTGTCCTCCCTCGTCTTCCTCCAGTGAGCCGTTGTCTCCACCGTCTTCCTCCAGTGAGCCGTCGTCCTCCACTTGTCTTCCTCCAGTGAGCCGTCGTCCTCCACTTGTCTTCCTCAGTGAGCCGTCGTCCCCCTCGTCTTCCTCCAGTGAGCCGTTGTCCTCCACTCGTCTTCCTCCAGTGAGCCGTTGCCTCCACTCGTCTTCCTCCAGTGAGCCGTTGTCCTCCACTCGTCTTCCTCCAGTGACCGTTGTCCTCCACTCGTCTTCCTCCAGTGAGCCGTTGTCCTCCTCGTCTTCCTCCAGTGAGCCGTCGTCCTCCAGTCGTCTTCCTCCAGTGAGCCGTTGTCCTCCACTCGTCTTCCTCCAGTGAGCCGTTGTCCTCCACTCGTCTTCCTCCAGTGAGCCCACGTCCTCAGCTCATCTCCCCAGTGAGCCCCACGTCCTCAGCTCATCTCCTCCAGTGAGCCCACGACCTCAGCTCATCTCCCAGTGAGCCCGTCCTCAGCTCATCTCCCCAGTGAGCCACGTCCTCAGCTCATCTCCTCCAGTGAGCCCGACCTCAGCTCATCTCCCAGTGAGCCCACGTCCTCAGCTCATCTTCCTCCAGTGAGCCCACGTCCTCAACATCTCCCCAGTGAGCCCACGTCCTCCACTCATCCCCTCCAGTGAGCCCGACCTCCACTCATCTCCCTCCAGTGAGCCCACGTCCTCAGCTCATCTCCATCCAGTGAGCCCACGTCCTCCACTCATCTCCTCCAGTGAGCCCACGTCCTCCAGCTCATCTCCCTCCAGTGAGTCCACGTCCTCAGCTCATCTCCATCCAGTGAGCCCACGTCCTCAGCTCATCTCCCTCCAGTGAGCCCACGTCCTCAGCTCATCTCCCTCCAGTGGTCCGTCCTCAGCTCATCTCCCTCCAGTGAGCCCACGTCCTCCCTCATCTCCTTCCAGTGAGCCCGTCCTCAGCTCATCTCCCTCCAGTGAGCCCACGTCCTCCCTCATCTCCTCCAGTGAGCCACGTCCTCCACTCATCTCCCTCAGTGAGCCCACGTCCTCAGCTCATCTCCATCCAATGAGCCCACGTCCTCCAGCTCATCTCCTCCAGTTAGCCCACGTCCTCAGCTCATCTCTCTCAGTGAGCCCACGTCCTCCACTCATCTCCCTCCAGTGAGCCCACGTCCTCAGCTCATCTCCCTCCAGTGAGCCCGTCCTCCACTCATCTCCCTGTGAGCCCACGTCCTCAGCTCATCTCCTCCAGTTAGCCCACGTCCTCAGCTCATCTCCCTCCAGTGAGCCCAGTCCTCCCATCTCCTCCAGTGAGCCACGTCCTCAGCCATTCCATCCAGAGCCCACGTCCTCAGCTCATCTCCTTCCAGTAGCCCACGTCCTCCACTCATCTCCTCCAGTGTGCCCAGTCCTCCACATCTCCTCCAGTGAGCCCACGTCCTCAGCTCATCTCCTTCCAGTGAGCCCACGTCCTCCACTCATCTCCTCTCAGTGAGCCCAGTCCTCAGCTCATCTCCATCCAAGAGCCCACGTCCTCAGCTCATCTCCGTCCAGTGAGCCCACGTCCTCAGCTCATCTCCATCCAATGAGCCCACGTACTCAGCTCATCTCCCTCCAGTGAGCCCACGTACTCAGCTCATCTCCCTCCAGTGAGCCCACGTCCTCCACTCATCTCCATCCAATGAGCCCACGTCCTCCACTCATCTCCATCCAATGAGCCCACGTCCTCAGCTCATCTCCATCCAATGAGCCCACGTCCTCAGCTCATCTCCCCACCAAGATCAATGTGCTCATAAAAACATCCAACTTTGTTTCTCCAAAGATTTATTTAAAGCTTTCTCTCAATATTTTTCCCTAGGAAGATGCGCGGATTTTACCCTCTCTCTCTTTTTCTCACTATCTCTCTTCCTTTGTCTTTCCGTTTCTCTGCTTTTGTCTATCTGTCGATATGTCTGTCTGTCTGTCTGTCTGTCTGTCTGTCTGTCTGTCTCTCTCGTGAATTTATATATACTTAAATGCTCCCTTGTTACTTATAGTTAGTTATAAAAAACAGATCTATTTCTAAAGGGTATTCAAGGGTTAAGTCATCGTATTCAAGGGTTAAGTCATCGTATTCAAGGGTTAAGTCATCGTATTCAAGGGTTAAGTCATCGTATTCAAGGGTTAAATCGCCGTATTCAAGAGTTAAATCGCCGTATTCAAGGGCTAAATCATCGTATTCAAGGGATTAAATCACCCTATTCAAGGGGTTAAATCACCGTATTCAAGGGGTTAAATCACCGTATTCAAAAGGATTACGGAACGTGACGGAGATCTTACAGGGTCACCACCAAGGATGGAAGTTTCACGAAAAATCCACATTAATTGGTTCAACTTCCCTCGTTCACTGTCGGTCGAGCGTCCACACACCGGTAAACCTAACCAGCCACAACTCCTCAAAGTACTCAGGGAAATGTCTAATATCTTTCAGGTAGGTCGTCTGGGATTTTCTTGGGCAGGTATCTACATAACCAAATGTCATAAGAACCTGATTTAAATTTAGTTAAAGAGCTACCGCGTTTAACACCTGTCTGATTTGGTACCTTAACCCCCTTCACAGACAGACAGACAGACAGACAGACAGACAGACAGACACACGCACAACAGGACGAGACACGAGAACAATAAATGAAATACGAGACATTTTCCACATAATATTTTCCCACATAATCCAATTTACTGTGAGGTGAGGTGAGGTGAGGCGAGGTGAGGTGAGGTGAGGTGAGGCGAGGTGAGGCGAGGTGAGGCAAAAGTGAGGTGGGGTGAGGTGAGGTAAAAGATGGGAAAGTGGGGTGGGGGAAGGGTAGGTAAGGTGAGGGAGATAAGAGGAAGTGAGATGAGATGAGGTGAGGTGAAGGGGGGGGAGGTGTGATGTATAAACAGACCTCCCTAGTGTATGATGTATAAACAGACCCCCTCTCCTAGTGTATGATGTATAAACAGACCCCCTCCTAGTGTATGATGAATAAACAGACCCCTCCCTAGTGTATGATGTATAAACAGACCCTCCCCCCTAGTGTATGATGTATAAACAGACCCCCCCTAGTGTATGATGTATAAACAGACCCCTCCCTAGTGTATGATGTATATAATACAGACCCTCTAGTGTATGATGTATAAACAGACCCCCTCCCTCTAGTGTATGATGTATAAACAGACCCTCTCTAGTGTATGATGTATAAACAGACCCCTCTCCTAGTGTATGATGTATAAACAGACCCCCTCCCTGTGTGTATGATGTATAAACAGACCCTCTCCTAGTGTATGATGAATAAACAGACCCTCCCTAGTGTATGATGTATAAACAGACTCCTCTCTAGTGTATGATGTATAACAGACCCCCTCTCCTAGTGTATGATGTATAAACAGACCCCCTCCCTAGTGTATGATGTATAAACAGACCCCTCCCTTAGTGTATGATGTATAAACAGACTCCCTCCTAATGTATGATGTATAAACAGACCCCTCCCTAGTGTATGATGTATAAACAGACTCTCTCCTAGTGTATGATGTATAAACAGACCCTCCTAGTGTGTATGATGTATAAACAGACCCCCTCCCTAGTGTATGATGTATAACAGACCCCCTCTAATGTGATATGATATATGATGTATAAACAGACTCTGCTAGTGTATGATGTATAAACAGACCCTCCCTAGTGTATGATGTATAAACACCCCTCTCAGTGTATGATGTATAAACAGACCCTCCCCTAGTGTATGATGTATAAACAGACCCCCTCTCCTAGTGTATGATGTATAAACAGACCCCCCTCTCCTAGTGTATGATGTATAAACAGACCCTCCCCTAGTGTGATGTATAAGTAGATGCAGAAGTGTATGATGTATAAACAGACCCCTCTCCTAGTGTATGATGTATAAACAGACCCCTCCCTAGTGTATGATGATATAAAACAGACCCCCTCTCCTAATGTATGATGTATAAACAGACTCCTCTCCTAATGTATGATGTATAAACAGACCCTCTCCTAGTGTATGATGAACAAACAGACCCCCTCCCTAGTGATGTATAAACATAATGCTCCCTCTCTCCTAGTGTATGATGTATAAACAGACCCCTCCTAATGTATGATGTATAAACAGACCCTCTCTAGTGTATGATGTATAAACAGACTCTCTAATGTATGATGTATAAACAGACCCCTCTCCTAGTGTATGATGTATAAACAGACTCCCCCCCTAGTGTATGGATGTATAAACAGACCCCCTCCCCTAGTGTATGATGTATAAACAGACCCCCTCCCCTAGTGTATGATGTATAAACAGACCCCCTCCCCTAGTGTATGATGTATGAAACAGACCCCCTCCCCTAGTGTATGATGTATGAGAGAATAAATCACATTACCCCTTTGTATATGAGATCAGTACATCACGGCACCACTACACGACCCTGACCTATTATTTTCCCTCTTTGCCACCATATGGACGGCATGGAGGGTGGGGATACAGCCAGCTACACCACCACTGTATCACCCATTTATGTAACCTAACCTAACCACTGTATCATCCCGTTTATGTAACCTAACCTAAGCTAACCTTCCCTAAGCTACTGTAATTCGCGTAAATGTACATAATTACCGGCTTCAAAATGTAATGGGAAGCTGAAAAGGTAATCGCTGTAAATTTATTATGTAATTGCTAGCATCTAGTGTAATTACTTTAACTCTCTGTAATGTAATTGTCAGTTTCTCTTGTAAAATTGTAATGTAATGTAATTGGAAGCTCAAATGTAAATAAACTGTCAACTTGAAATTATTATATTACAGCTGATATTATATTTAAGGGAATTTTTATTTTATTTTATGGTTGCTATTATATTTAAGGGAACTATTACATATAAAGTTACTATTAATTTTAAGGGAACTTTTACATATAAAGTTACTAATACTTTTAAGGGAACTATTATGTATAAAATTACTATTACTTTTAAGGGAACTATTATATATAAAATCACTATTCCCTTTTAAAGTTATCACATCGACTCAAAAAAAAATCATAATCCATTTTCATTCTAATAAAGAACTAAAAATAAAACTGGATACCTTAAAACTACGACAGAGAAACACTAATAAAAATACAGCATTAAAACTGGCCTGAGACTAACGAAACCAGACACAATATACAACCCACCCACCCTGCCTGAATGGTAGAGATCGGCAGCGGAGGGGAGGGGTGGGGTGGGGTGGGGTGTGGGGGGGAAGGCCTTCAGTGTTTACATAACAATGACATCACGGCGTATATGTTTACATAATGATGACGTCACAACCCTTGTTTACATGCGTGGGAGGTTGAATGGCTGGATCTATATACCGACAGTTTAACATATCAGGTACTGTATATCTCTCGTGTGCTTTAAATTCTACCTTCCTTACTACCCGGCCAGCCAGTCAGTGCTCTGTTATACATTGTCAGTAGTTATATGGGATATACGGGGGTCATAAACGTACTGTACTTGACTATGTTCCAGTGTTGGTTAGGTTAGGTTAGTGTTGGTTTGGTCTGGATATATATAACTCTGCTTTCAACTGAGTTTCTTTCGTGTGATGAGAATTTTTCCTTAAAGCTTCCTCTAGAACGTGTGTGTGTGTGTGTGTGTGTGTGTGTGTGTGTGTATGTGTGTGTGTGTGTGTGTGTGTGTGTGTGTGTGTGTGTGTGTGTGTGTGTGTGTGTGTGTTTGCAAGATTTAAACATTAAAAAAGTAAAAAACAATAAAAAAAACACTTTCATTCACTTTACTATATTAACCGAGACTTAACCAATTTAGACAAATTATCCTTATTAGTTCATTAAAAACAAACACACAATACATATTCTAAGTAAACAATCTATCGACGTAAACCAAAAAATCATATTCCTAGTAAACAATCTATCGACGTAAAAAAAAATCAATTTTTAGTAAACATTATATCGACGTAATTTTATTTTTATTCTTAGTAAACATTCTATAGACGTAAACAAAAAAGTCAT